TGTTGTGATTGATAAGTTGATTAAGTTGTAGGCTTATGCTAATGTTATCGAATATATTGTCGTTGTTGTATGTGATTATTGCATTCATTAAGTGACATACATTTGCAGTATTAAGTTGGCCTGGATTGGCACCACATTGGCCTGGATTGGAAAAATATTAAGTTAAAGACTTATGCCTAGTTGATGCCTCTATTTATTGGCAGATTTTCTAAGTTGGGAGTTCTACTCCAATGGTACCACATGCATTTGCATAACATTGAGTCGCATTATAAGTTGTACAATTGAGTTGTTGTGTTGACGAATTAATTATTGCATTTTGATTATATCTTGTTGCGATTATTGCTATGAAGTGGTGATTTTTGCATGACCTGGTTCTAATATATGACTTATCATGCGCTCACTTATACGATTTAAGAATCTCACCCCTTATATTTGAATGTTGCCCTCTGTTGGCAACATGTAGGTAATCAAGAAGGATAGTTGTACATCGTTAGTTCGAGTCAGTGTCGTCGCTCTGATACGTAGCACTCATGGGGAAATGATTGAATAGTTGTTTACTTGTTGAAACTGTTTTAGTTGTTGAATCCTAAGTTGAATTATGTGAAATAATATGTTGCTCCTCAAGTCGTTTTAGTTGGCGAAACATATGATGCTACTTGAAGTTGTAATTATGATTCTACTGCGTTATTAATAAAAGAAGTGGTTTTGTTTAAAAAGCTGATGCAAGTTGTTATATGATCCCCCGAAATTAAAGTGTTATGTATATGTTTATGTGTTGTAACATGTTGAAATGTGATATCCCAAATATGTTGGAAGCTTTTAAATACTTTAATTTTCATTATAACTACCAGGTAGAATTTTGGGGTGTTACAGTTCATACCATTGGTGATAAATATAGTCGCTCTGTCATGTTTCGGGAATTGATCTACAATCTATTTTTTCATAGATAGTTGCCCTGTCTTGTTTCAGAAATTAATTTGTGGCTAGTCATCCAGATAGTTGCCCCGTCTTGTTTTAGGAACTAATCTGGAACCTGCTTTTTATTAGCCGTATAGATAGTTGCCCCATCTTGTTTCGAAAATTAATCTATGACCTGGTCATGTAGATAGTTGTCTCGTCTTGTTTCAGGAATTAATCTATAATATGTTTTTCACAGATAGTTGCCATGTCTTACTTCAGGAATTAATCTGTGGCTGGTCATATAATTTTTTTGGACTTATCTCTTATTTTTAAAACTACTCCATCAGTGTCAAAATGAGTGTTGTTTTAATAAATATTTTTTTTTCCGAATAAATGTTATTCTCACTTTTCAATATATAAATGATTGCTATTTTTCCAATTGTGTCATTTAATTATTACACTTTATACTACTCTCAATATATTTATAAGGTTAATATAATAAAAGTACAATATCTTATAAAAACATTATTACATTCCTTAATCTGTATGCAAAAACCTTAAACGACACTCATTTTAAAACATAGAGAATACCAATCGTTAGTTGATTCAGTGATGATTGTCGCAGGACTTAGTAGGGAGAACCATGGTTCGATCCTACACAACTGCGATCAAGAGGGGTAAAAAACGGAGGGACTAGTATTTTAGTCCATGAGTTATAATATTTTTTGACTTAATTGCAACTTTAGTCTCCCTATTTAGTCTTTTTCTTGATTTTGATCACCCACTTTAAAAACCACTATTTTTATTCCTTTTTAAGTTTTCTCTTTTAAATCTGAGGGTATTTTTTTGATGACATGACACTATTTTTGCTCGTGTGTCATTTTTTTCTACAAATCTATTTCCACGTCATTTTTTATCCATTTAATATTAAATATTTAATAAGCTTAATAATAAATTATTTATTTCGTTTTAAATGTCTAATTATTTAACTTTTTTTAATTAAATAATTATTAATATTTTTAATTATGTTTCTATTTTAAAATTAATTAATTAAAAGTTTTAAAAGAATGCTTTTAGATTTTATGCTAAGCCCTAAACCCATTTCTCTAGAAACAATTCTCCAACCCACAATTATACACAATAATGTGTTTGTTTCACATATATAAATAATAATATTTTTATTGAAAAATCAATGTGGGACTTCCATTTTTCTTCAATCCACCATGTTTCTCAAACAATTTGTACATCCTTTCAAAAACAACCAAAAACTATTGATGTCACATGATCCATTTTGTATATTTATAATATTTCATTTCATAAATAACTTTCACAAACCTGTAAACTTCTTTTTGAATCCGTAGAAATTTATAAAATAGAATGTTGGGTTGAAAAAATAATTTGTGCATCCTTTCAAATAGAAAGATATACCCAATAGTTACTAACATTACCTGTCTGCACCTACAATTTTTGTATATTTAATTAATATTTCAATTTCTTGTTTTGAATTCTAACACATGTCTTGGTATGCTATATCACAGTTATGAAATGCTTCAACTGGAGGAAAAACTCGAAACTGCTCATCAGGTTGGAACAACTCGATCATAAATTCTCTCAAATCTAAATGATTTATCTCTTGAAACAAGTTTCTTGTGAGCATGGCCATTGTTTGTAAATTGAGAAACAATGCTTCCCATGTTCTTGACATAGTTATTTATTTCAATGCAGATCTTATTATAATATGCATCAGTATGGCTGAAAACTTGAGTAAGTCATTAAACCACAAACATGTTATCTTACCGTTGTTCCAAACAACAGATATTGGCAACCTTTGGACAATGATATTCAAAATTGATTCCAACTGTAATTGCAAACCTGTAGACTTATTTTTGAAGAAACATGGTGGGTTGAAGAAAAATGAAAGTTTCAAATTGGTTTTTCAATAAAAAACATTATTGTTTATATATGTAAAACAAACACATTATGGTGTACAATTGTGGGTTAGAGAATTGTTTCTAGAGAAATGGGTTTAGGGCATAGCTTAAAGTCTAAAGCATTCATTTAAAACTTTTAATTAATTAATTTTAAATATAAATTTAAAATGAAATAAATGATTATTATTAAGCTTAATAAAATATGGGTTAAATACCTTACAATCCCCTGTCATATGAGCGTGTTTTGATTTCTCCCCCTTAAGAAATTTTTCCCCACCCCTCAACAAATAAAGATTCCCGCACAAAAAACCTTGATGTATTTTTTTAGCAAAGATTCTATGAATCTGGCCTACATGACCATCATCTTTTGGCTGATTGTTATAAATGACATGTTGGAGTGTTGTATCATCTAAGGTTCCATTTTCTTCTTCTTCATCCATGTGGTCGTTCTCATCTTTACCCATATTTGCTTCCTCCATCATCTATTGCTTCTTCCATCATCTATTGCCTCTTCTATCATCTATGTCTTCGTCTGTTTGAAACCATAAACTGGTCAAATGGGTCAAAGTAATAGTGGTGGAAGCAGTAATTTGTATGAGATTTCAATTGTTCCCAGGTGCGGCTGCCGTCGTCCAATGAAGATCACGATGATCGCGTAGGCCATATTCATATAATCTTTGCTAAAAATACACATCAGGATTTTTTGTGCTGAAATCTTTATTTGTTGAGGGGTGGGAAACAATTTCTTAAGGAGGGAGGGGGGAATCAAAATACGCTTATATGGCAGAAGGGTATAAGGTATTTAACCCATAAAATATCTAATATTAAATGGATAAAAAAAACTTTTTTTGTGTGTGTTTTGCTCTCTTTTCCCATTTTAAGGTTTAATTTGTTGACGTGTGTGGAAGTGCCTAGGTAGGTGAACAAATTTAAGATGACATGTCAATAAAATTATTCCTAAAATACAATGTGGATATTATTAAACTTGTCAATCTAAACATTTTCACGTCAATAAAACGACTCTGGGTGATAGGGGACCAAAAATAAAATAAAAAATTAAGAGACACAAAATTCTATTTTGAAAATAGAAAGATCAATTTTTTTTTTTTAAATAGAGAAACTAACATTACACTTAAATATTATTTTCATTAAATTATTATTTAACAAATTATAATTTGATTATAATTTTAGTTAATATTCACTCAAAATGGCACAATATATTAAAATATTAAATAATATTACTCGTAGACGTTAGTCAAAGACCGTAGTCGTCCTAAAAAATATCCACCATCAGAGAGATAAGTAAACACCTAGAGAATATATTGATAGATTTATCGAGGTAGTCGTAGAAGATGTAGTCAACGATAAATTTGAGTGTTGGATCAAATGAGGCCAAATTACATGTTTATGGAGAAGTTAAGGTCAAAGGAACCGACAAATACGAGTGACTTCCTCACTCAAGCCCAACTTTATATCAATTATGAAGAAAAAAATTTCCATAAAGATGTTGAAAGTAATCATACCAAATATTTTTTTTACAAGAGTATGTTAACGCCAAATTTGAGAATGTCAGAGGTAAGATATCCTAATATCGTAAAAGACTTAACACAAATCAATAAATTTAAAATTTAGATTATTAATTATAATAAAAATATTTTTTAATATATACTAGTTAATAAAAGTATTTTTAAAAATCAAAATATCAAATAGATTTTTTATTTTCTCATCTTTTTGAAAATTAGTTTACTAAATAAATTTTTTTATTTTTCTCATTTCGAAAACGGTTTGAAAGATTATATTATCAAACAATTGGGCCCAATGACCCAAACATAAACCGGGTAAGGGTTCCGGTCCTCTACATATAACAAGCTTCTTCACTCTCGTTCTCACTCCTTGCTGCTACTTCAACTTTGCCTCTCTCTCAACCCAAAGGTAAAACCCTCCTTCAATCGATTTCTTATTCATCAATCTGCACCTATAAAACTCAATTTCCCACATGAATTAGTAGATTATCTTTCTGAATTTGTGTTTTATTTTTAGGGTTTTTCATTATTTATTCTCGGCGATTGATTTCTATCAAAAAAAGCCCCAATTTTTGTTTATTTTCTGAAATTCACGTTGTTGGATCGTTGCTATTATAATAATTGTTTTGCAGAAAAATTAACAAAAATGGCAGTCACATTGTATAACCCTAAATCTGAATCTGGGTTGAAGAAACTTGATGAGTACCTTCTAACCCGCAGTTACATCACCGGGTAGGTCATGTAAAAGTTGTTTTTTTTTTTAATGTTTTTTTTCTTCTGTTTCTTATGAATTTTTTATATGCTTGATCTGTTTAGGTACCAAGCATCAAAGGATGATATCACTGTCTATTCAGCTTTGGCATCAGTTCCATCGGAGGAATATGTCAATGTTGCTAGGTGGTACAAGCACATTGATGCTTTGTTGAGAATTTCGTAAGTTCCCCTTCCCGTTTATGCAATGGTTTTTGTGATGTTATCATTGTGGTTTGACAATGATTTTATTTGATTTAGAGGTAGATTTAGAAAAATTATAAGATAAGTTATTAATAAAGATCTTGAGATTAATGATTTGGATATTAACATTGGTATTGGATAGAATAATTATGGGTGAAGTTGTTTCATGTAGCCGGCACTTAGTTAGATAAGGATTGGTTGTTGTTGTTATCATTTTGGTTTATATGTATGGCCCTAACAATGTTTGATGTTCACTCTATGCATTTGTTTTTGGTTAGATTTTTCGATTTTTAATTGAATGTTGTATTTGTAGTGGTGTTTCTGGCGAGGGATCTGGTGTCATTGTGGAATCTTCTCTTGTGGCGGAAGATGCTATTGCCACTCCTCCAGTTGCCGACACAAAGGTATGTATATTACAAACGATTGGTACTTGGACTGTGATTAATGTTACATTTAACTCTACTTTAGTTGATTTGTGACTGATTGTAAAATTGTAAAATGTTGGTTAGGCCACTGAAGCTGAGGATGATGATGACAGTGATGTGGATTTGTTTGGTGAAGAGACTGAGGAAGAGAAGAAGGCAGCTGAGGAACGGGCAGCAGCCGTGAAGGCTTCTGGCAAAAAGAAAGAGAGTAAGTTTCTGCCATATCATATATATACACATGATTATTTGAAATCTGATTGGACATTATCTTATGCTTTTGGTTTTCTGCTTATTACATTTTCAGGTGGAAAATCATCTGTATTGTTGGATGTTAAGCCATGGGATGATGAAACTGACATGAAAAAGCTTGAAGAAGCAGTGAGATCTGTTAAGTTGGATGGCTTGTTATGGGGTGCATGTATGTTATTTTTACTATCACAGTTTATATTTGCACATTTCATTTTTGCTGATTGTTTCCATTCCTATCTATTCTGTATAATATATGATATCTAATGATGAGTTTCAGTCTCTTGTATTTCACTAATTTCAAATGTTTATAAATATATAACGTATATGTCGTAATAGTTGGAGTAGTTGCAGTCTTTAGAACATAAATTCTTTTTTCTTTTCAAAATCTGATATTTGTTTATTAATGTTGTAGCCAAACTTGTTCCTGTTGGGTACGGTATCAAGAAACTTCAAATTATGATGACCATTGTGGACGACTTGGTTTCCGTTGACAATATGGTTGAGGATTATCTTACCGTTGAGCCCATCAATGAGTATGTCCAGAGTTGTGACATTGTTGCCTTCAATAAAATATGTAAGAAATATTCTGGTTTGATTTTATTTGACTATTGTTTTTTGAGGTTGGTTTTTTATTTGCTCATAAGATGCATATATAATTGCTATATAACTGCACATCTTGATCTAATGCTTTTTCACAATCTTTATTGCAGAATCTGCTATTTATGTGACATGAAGATCATGATAGTGGGGGAGAATTTGGAATTCTTAGAGATGACAATCAAGGGTTATTGTTATATTAAGTTGTGTTTTTTGTGTTTTGGAAACTTACCTGTTACTGTTGTCATTTGAAGAATTTTGTCTTGTGATTTCATCACTGTTATATGGATTGTGTTATAATTATTTAAGTTTTGAGAATTGAAGTTGTGTTATGTTTTTAGAATTTTGATTCTTTGTTGAGATTTTGTTGATAATAGAGCTTGCCACTCTCTTTGGACTGAGCCACCTCTAATTTTGGTGGCTTTTCTATACCGTAATGCAAAGACTAAGGAGGAATTTGTTTTGACACGCCACACCCCCACCCATATTTGCTTTTCTAGCGCACTCACATAATTTATTTGTTTTTTGAGATTCGTCTTATTTTATGAGTTTTGTTAATCCTTTCTATATTTTCTCCAAAATCTAAAATTAACGTTATCACATTCCCAATCTTTCACCAAACCAATAGTCTTACAAAAACTCCATTTATCATAATCATAAAGATTTATTGGTTTAACTACAAACATGGAAGAAACTCATTTTCAAAAGTAATTAGGTTTGATAAAGATGTTGTTAGGTACCGACTTAAACAAATAAATTTAAGACAAAAGGATAGAAGTTGATAGAAATTAATGGCTAATTATTGTATGATGGTAAGAAGATTTACAGAAGATTCAATGATCTAACTGTCTCCTATGGAGTGCTTAACAGTCCCCCATCCAATGATTGCTAAATGAATCTTCTAGCGTCCGTCACCAATTCCCTTACCTCCTCATTTATTGTAACCGTCTAACGATATTCGCTAAAGCCACTACTCTCTCTCTCTCTCTGCCACCTCATAGCTATCACGTGGTGTGAGATCTTTTTTTCCTTCTAGAATAAACCTGTCAGATCTTAACACTCCTAGGCCCAATATGATTTGTCATTTCTATATCTGGCCCATCTTTCTTCACTTGGTCCCTAACAATACCTCCTTCTAGAAAAGCTACCTTGTCCTCAAGGTTAAATTCAGGAAATTGCTTTGTTATGGTTTCCATGTCTTCCCAAGTAGCCTCGTCCACCGCCCTATTAGTCCAATGAATTAAAACTTGTTTAACTCTCTGTTCTCCTAGCCCGTTGAAACGTGTGTCTAAAACTCCTTCAGGCACAAACTGCTCCACACAACTCCCTTCAACTTCTTGGGGCAATTCACTTTCCACTGCATAATCTCCAACTGCCCTTTTTAACAGAGAGACATGAAAAACTGGGTGTACCCGTGATCCCTCGGGTAATTTCAGCTTATACGCAACAGCTCCAATCCTCTCCACAATCTGAAACGGGTCATAATATCTAGCTGCCAATTTAGCATTAATCCTAGATACCACAGATTGCTGCCTGTGTGGACGAAGCTTCAAAAACATCCACTCTCCAATATTAAAACTGGACTCTGTCCTCTTCTCATCTGCAAAATACTTCATGCGGTCTTGAGCTCTTTGGATATGAGCTCTCAACTGCTTGAGTGCTTCATCCCGTTCTTCCAACTCTTTTTGAACTGCAGCCACCCTTGTCTCACCTTGCAAGAGTCTTGTAATAACAAGAGGCTTCCTTCCGTAGACTAACTCAAAAGGTGTACTCCCCGTGGACACATGAAATGTTGTATTAAACCAAAACTATGCCCATGGAATCCAAGTCAGCCAGGATTTTGGTTGGTCCGCAATGAAACATCTCAAATAAGTCTCCAAACATCGATTGACAACCTCCGTTTGGCCATCCGTTTCCGGGTGATAGGCTGAACTCATCTTCAAAGTGGTACCTTGCAGCCTGAAAAGTTCAGTCCAAAAATTACTGATGAATAGATGATCACGGTCACTAACAATGGTTGTAGGTAAACCATGAAGTCGTATAACTTCTTTGGCAAAAATTTCAGCTATTGTTCTAGCAGTATAAGGTCTCTTAAGAGGGATGAAATGACAGTATTTTGACAGCCTATCTACTACCACAAACATAACTTCAAACCCACGGGATTTCGGCAAACCTGTGATAAAATCCATTGAGACCTCTTCCCACACTGCTGAGGGAATGGGCAGAGGTTGTAATAAACCCCCAGGTGCGATAGCTAAGTACTTTTGTCGTTGACACACATCATAAGCCTTCACATAGGCTTGCACTCTTGCTTTCATACCTATCCAATATACATTAGCAGCTAAACGTCTGTAGGTGCGATAAAACCCAGAATTCCCACCTTTCGGAGTAATATGAAATTCAACCAACATCTTGGGAATCAATGAAGATTGTGCAGATAACACTAAACGATCCTCATAAAATAAAACCTCTTGTTTGTACTTAAATCCTGGTCGTGAATCTGGTTTTTCTTCCAATTCCTCTATGATTTTCAACAGAACCTTATCCATGTGGATTTCTTCCTGTATCACATTGCCTTCCTCCCAAATTGGATATGAGACCAGAGCTGCTAATTCACCTTCATGTAATCGGGATAGAGCATCTGCCCCTCTATTCTCCACTCCCGGCTTATACACGATATCAAACTGATAACCGAGCAATTTAGTGGCCCAATTTTGCTGATCCGGTGTCGTAATCTTTTGTTGCCATAATTGCTTCAAACTCTTTTGATCTGTTGTCACAGTGAAATGTCTGCCCAACAAATAAGGGCGCCAATGTTGTACCGCTAAAGCTACTGCCATTAGTTCTCTTTCATATGCAGACTTAGCCAAATTCTTTCCTCCTAAAGCCTTGCTAAAAAAAGCAATGGGCTTTCTCTCTTGCATTAATATCGCCCCCAGACCCACTCCAGATGCATCACATTCTATTGTGAACTCCTTTTCAAAATCCGGCAAAGCAAGTACGGGGGCTGTTGTCAGCTTCTGCTTTAAAATTTCAAAAGCCTTCTGAGCTTGAGGCCCCCATTTGAACCCCTCCTTCTTTGTCAACTTTGTCAATGGCTTGGCAATCTTCCCATAATCTTTAATAAACTTGCGGTAGTAACCCATAAGGCCTAGAAATCCTCTCACCCCTTTAACGTTCTTAGGTATAGGCCATTGAATTACACTCTGCACCTTCGAGGGATCTACTACTACACCACTTCCCGTGATCAAATGACCGAGATACTCAACTGTTTTCTGGCCAAACTGACACTTTTTTATTAGCAACCAATTTATGTCTCCTCAAAATCTGCAACACTTTGGTTACTTCAAAAATATGTGTCTGCCACGATTTACTATAAATGAATATGTCGTTAAAAAAAACTAACACAAACTTCCTCAATAAGGGCCTGAACACCTCGTTCATCAAGGATTGGAATGTGGATGGAGCATTCATCAATCCAAACGGCATCACAAGGAATTCATAATGTCCGTCATGAGTACGGAAGGTCGTCTTATGAACATCCTCCGGTTTCACCCTCACTTGATGGTACCCGAACTTTAAATCAAGCTTGGTGAAATATTGAGCCCCATGTAACTCATCGAGTAACTCGTCTATCACCGGTATTGGAAACTTGTCTGGTACGGTGGCCTTGTTAAGGGCACGATAATCAACACACATTCGCCATGTCCCGTCCTTCTTCTTTACCAGTATAACGGGACTAGAAAAAGCGATGCAACTGTGTTGAATAATTCCCATCTCAAGCATCTCCTTAATCTGTTTTTCTATTTCATTTTTCTGGTGGTGTGGGTACCTATATGGTCTGACATTGACTGCACCTTGTCCTGCCATTAAATTGATAGCATGGTCCCTTGAGTGACATGGAGGAAGACCCTTAGGTTCTTGGAACACGTCATCGAAGGATTTCAATACTTCCTGCATAACAAATTGCTCTAACACTACCTCTGCCCGCCCTTCCGTGTTGCTCAACATTGCATCTAGTGACCATCCTTTCTTGTCGTAGCCTTTGCTAGCCTTCCCTACAATGCTTTGCAATGCCGGTATTGCTTCAGATGTTCCTTCTATCCCTCTCAACATTACCCACTTCCCCTCATGCCAAAACTCCATTGTTTGTTTATTCCAATTAACTATCACATCTCCCAAAGATTTCAACCATGACATTCCCACAAATACATCCACCCCATCTAAATCAAATAGATACGCCTCAATTTCACAGGTGACTCCCCCAGTTTTGAATAAAACTTGAGTACACTTTCCTCTAGTAATGGTTTGGAACCCGTCACCCAATTTGATTCTAAAATCTGGTGTGGTCTCTACTTGCCACCCTAACTTCTGAACCATGGACTTCGCAACGAAATTATGTGTAGCCCCACTGTCAACCAACACCACCACCGGTACGCCATTGATCGTTGCTCTGAGTTTGAGTGTATGAACTTTAGCGTGTTTGGACTCTTTCAGTTCAAAGAGACTCATAACACTCATCTCTCCACCGTGCTCCTCTTCAGATTCCTCCACCTCTACCGCCAACAACTTCGCTTCATCATCTCCTCCTTCCTCCTCCTCCACAATCATGATACGAAGCTGCTTATCTGGGCACTGATGGAGAGGATGATATGGGCCCCCACACTTGTAACACAAGCCCTTTTTCTTCCGGTCCATTAGTTCTTGATAAGACAAATGGGTAAACCCCTTCTCCCGCACACCCCCCTTCCTCCTATCTGCAGTACAATGTTTAGATTCATGAATTGGGCCATTAACACCTCTAGGCCCAATCCCATTATGATTTCCACTATTTTGACCCCCTTTCACAAAAACCCAATCTGTACCTCCATGTCTTCCCGAGTTAACCCGGTTTGACCCACCTATTTTCGGATTCCGGTTCCAGCCCGACCCACCATTTATCTCCCTTTCCACTGCTCTGGTAACGTGAATTAATTTGCTCCTTGTAAGTGGACCCATAGCCACAAAACTCCGAACCCTACCTCTGATTTCATCTTTTAACGCATGCAAAAAGTACCCCAGGTACTGTTTGTCAGGCAACCTTGGAATCTGAGCTGTTAAACGCTCAAACTCTTGTATATAGTCTTCCACTGTACCCTTTTGACGAATCTGCAACGTCTCCTTCTCCCAAACCTCCATACCTCTCTAGAAGCTCCACCTTGAACTCCTCCCATGTCAGATCCGGGTTTTCCTCTAACAGAGAGTTAAAGAAATGGATGGTTGTCCCGTCCATGCTTAACTGCGCCATCCCCACCTTCACTGTAGCACTCGTGTCCTGCACACGAAAATAGACTTCGGCTCTAGAGATCCATCCGACCGGATCATCACCGGAGAACGCTGGTAACTCCACCTTCTTAACCGATCTTCTAAATTCATCCAAAGCTTCACCTTTCAACTCTTAGGATGTTGTAGCCTTCTTGACCGCCGACGAGACACCATCATCAACTTCAACCACCTTTTTGCCAAGGACCTTCTCCATCATCTGCATCAACGCTCTTTGGTTCTCCCTCGCCGTTTGTTGAACCTCAGCGATGGAGTCAGAAAAAGCAACCTTCATCAACGATAACTCTTGCTCCAGATCTGCAATCTTCGCCTCCATGTTTGCTATTGTTTTCTTCTTCGGCGGCATCCACCAACGTTCCTTCACTGGCTTCTTCTACGTATCCGGTAGGTCGGACCAATGTTAGGTACCGACAGTAACAAATAAATTTAAGACAAAAGGATAGAAGCTGATAGAAATTAATGGCTATTATTGTATGATGGTAAGAAGATTTACAGAAGATTCAATGATCTAACTGCCACAGAGCTAGGCTCCTATGGAGTGTTTAACAGCCCCCATCCAATGATTGCTAAATGAATCTTCTAGCGTACGTTCCCAATTCCCTTACCTCCTCATTTATTGTAACCGTCTAACGATATTCGCTAAAGCCACTACTCTCTCTCTCTCTCTCTGCCACCTCATAGCTATCACGTGGTGTGAGATCCTTTTTTCCTTCTAGAATAAACCTGCAAGATCTTAGCACTCCTAGGCCCAATATAATTTGTCATTTCTATATCTGGCCTATCTTTCTTCACTTGGTTCCTGACAGATGTCTTTACAAGATAAAGAGAAGAGATGAGATGACTAAGCCTATGTTTGTTGTTTCCACGGTGGGAATGTTGTAAACGTATGTTTAGATGAATCTACTATTTGTAGCTTTTAGAAATCACGTTAAAAAGCTACTGATACTAATAAAAACATGCGGTGGCGGTGGAATTAATTCTTTCCAAACATACAATAATACGAAACAACTTGATTATGAAACAATGATGGAAAAAAAATGTCCTTGATGAAGAAAAACTTGAATTAAACTTGACATACTTGTAATCGATTTTCAAATTGTTGTTTGATTTGATTGTAGGGCTTCAAGTTGATTTTTCAAATTGTTACTTTCGATTTCATATTTAAATTTCAAAATCAGGTTTTTGAAATGTCTTAGGCTTGTATTAGAACATTTAGGGGTTCTAATACAAGAATGATAAAACACGTTCATACAAATTCAAACGATCAAAGTTATATGAAAGAACAAAAATGAAGAACTTAATATTAAGGAAAGAGAAATTTAAAGCTTTGTTTGAGATGGTTTTTCTATTTTGAAATTTTCAAAATTTTAAATCAATTTTGATTGAGTTGTGAAATTTTCAAAAAGAATTAATTTCAAACATAAAAATAATTATTCACGATGACTATATCTTAACTCAAATATTTTATACTATTAATTTTGCAACATAATTAAAAAATTATGAATATATAGTGAGTTTTTTAGTAATAATTTAATAATAGTAATTAAAAGTGGTGATTGTCAAGTTGTTGCAGGTAAGAGTGGTGATTGTTGATTGTCATGTTGATAGTAGTTGGTGGTGATGACTAGTGATGCTTTACGGTAGTAAAAATGGTGGTTAGAATAATAATTGATAGTGGTGACTACTAGTTCAATTAGTGATCCACAATGGTTAGAGTTATGATCAACTATGGTCTATGTGATCGCTAGTGGGTCATAAACATGGTTGTTGGTGGTGGTTATAGTAGTCAAGTAAATCTCATTTGTACATAGTTTCAGTTAGTTACTTGTATAGTTTCTGTTTAGTGTGTTAAAGGTAGTTAGGAGTTTGTTAGTTTGTTATTGAATCAGTTAATTAGTTATTGATTCAGTTAGATTAGATAACTTGTATATAACTACCTAATGTATCACTCTTCCATTCATGAAATAAGAATGAGAGCTTATTTATCTCTGAGTTTCTACAAATTTTACATGGTATCAGGAGCAAAATCACAGTTCTGCACATTTCTTCATTGCTTTCTTCCTCATTCAACAATGGCAGCAATGAATCATTCTTGGTTGTTCATTGATGATTGTAGTCTCAGTTTTTCTGCTCTCAGATTTGTGATCTTCTTTGATCTTACTTGCTAGTTTCTGCTTGCGTTTTCTTCTTGATTGAGTTTAGAATCGGTTTTCTGGTGATTTGAAGCTTTCTCTTATGCACCAATGGCAGCTCGAATTCAAATCACAACCGCGAACCTTCAAGATTCAACGCATGATTATTACATTCACCCTAATGAGAATCCATCTCTGGTTCTTGTTTCTCCGATCCTTGATGGTAGCAATTACCATGGCTGGGCTCGAGCCATGGAAATGTCATTGCAGATGAAAAATAAATTTGGTTTTGTGGATGGTTCGATTCCAAGGCTTGCAGACAATGATCCAATGCTTTCAGCTTGGAAGAGATGCAATAATCCGGTGCTTTCATGGATCAATCATTCAGTGTCATCAGAAATTGCAACTAGTGTTATATGGCTTGATTCTGCAACTGTTGTGTGGAAGGATCTTAAAGCACATTTTTCTCAAGGTGATTCTGTTAGAATTTCTCATCTTCATCATGAATTGTATTCTTTGAGTCAAGGTGATTTGTCTATTACTGCATATTACACTAAGATGAAGATTCTATGGGATGAGATGTGTAATTACAAAACTATTCCTGCTTGTTCTTCTCCAACTGCTTGTTGTTGTGAAGCTGTGAAAACTTTCAAGCAGTATAGAGATAATGATTGTGTTCTTTGTTTCTTGAGAGGATTGAATGATAATTATGCTGCAGCTCGATCTCAAATTCTGCTTATGGATCCCTTACCAGATCTTCCTAAGATCTTCTCCATGGTGATTCAACAGGAAAGACATCTAAGCATTAGTGTGCTTCCTGATTCTGCAGCTATGATGGTTCAAGATAATTCTTCTCAGGCTTTACCTTCTCAGCATACTGCTTCTGGTAAAGGCAAATCTTCATATCAGAAATCTTATGGCAAATCTAACAGGCAGTGCACACATTGTGGAAGACAGAATCACACAGTTGATACTTGCTTTCAAAAGCATGGTTATCCACCTGGATTTCCAAATGGATACAAGCCAAAGAAGGCTTATATTTCTACCACAGGGGCTGATGCATCAGTTGATGAAGAGCAGTCTATTTCTTCAGGCTTGGAACTCACAAGGGAGCAACTTCAAGGTTTACTAGCTTTGCTTCCTTCCTCTAAACCAACAGCTACCTCACATTCTTCCAATCTTGTGAGCACTCTTAATGTCATTACCAATGGCATAGGTAAGTCCATTATTACATTACACTGGATCATGGGTTCAGGTGCTACAGATCATATAGCATGTTCCTTACATTTCTTTGTTTCCTATCATGCTATAAATCCTGTTCAAGTTTCTTTACCAAATAAAGCCAGTGCAGTTGCACATTACATAGGGACAGTTATTCTTTCTCCTACCTTGATTTTATATAATGTCCTTTATGTTTCTAGTTTTTCAGTCAACTTGATCTCTATCTATAAATTGACCAAAACTCTGCCCAACAGGCTTGTTTTTAGTGACAATTATTGTTATGTACAGGACAAGATCACCTTGAAGATGATTGGGAGAGCTGAGATCAAGAATGGCCTTTACATTATGCAATTACCTCCATTTCCTCAAGTGCAACCTTTAGCTTCTTTTCATACTGTTTGTATGGCCAAATTATTACCAACTTCTATGCCTCATGTTTGGCATCATAGATTAGGCCATATTTCTTCTAGTTGTTTTGAAAAACTTCACAAATTGTATCCAAATATACCTTTTACTCATTGTGATCCTTGTGATTCATGTCATTATGCAAAACAGAAAAGATTGTCTTTTCCATTAAGTACTTCTGTTTCAGAAAACATATTGTCTTTGTTACATGTTGATATTTGGGGTCCATATTGTCATGCTTCTATAACTGGTGCCAAGTACGTTTTAACAATTGTAGATGACAAATCTAGGTTTACTTGGATCAAGTTATTGAAGAATAAATCAGAAGCTAGATTAGCATTACAAAATTTTATTGTTTATGCACAAAAACACTTTCAGAAACCAGTTAAGACAGTAAGAACAGATAATGGTCTAGAGTTTCATATTCCTGATTTTTATAACTGTCATGGCATTAAACACCAATTAACATGTGTAGAAACCCCTCAACAAAATGGGGTTGTTGAGAGGAAACATCAACACATTTTGAATGTGGCTAGGGCTTTGATGTTTCAGTCCAAATTAACAATTCATTTTTGGTCCTTTGCTGTCCTTCATGCAGTATACTTGATTAATGTCTTGCCCTCAAAAGTTCTTTCTTTTCAATCACCACATATGGTTCTACATAACATCAAACCTGATTTAGATAGCTTAAGAATTTTTGGTTCATTGTGTTATGCAACTACCATTACAGCTCATAGAACTAAATTTCAGGCAAGGGCTAGGAAGTGTGTCTTACTAGGATATAAGGAAGGGGTAAAAGGATATCTTTTGTTTGATTTACATACAAGAGAAATTTTTCTATCTAGAAATGTCATATTTTATGAAAATATCTTTCCTTTTCTTGATCATAATACTGCATCACAAGAATCACAAGATACTTTGTTCACTATTTCTTCTTTACCTACTGAAATCAATGCATCTTTGCTTGAACCTTCATCTTCTCATATTCATGTTGTTCCTCCAACTTTGCCTGTAAGACAATCCACCAGAACCAAAACAAAGCCATCTTACTTACAGGATTATCATTGCAATTTGGTCCATTCTTCATCTCAGGATTCTCAACCATCTTCAACATCTTCTACTGGTACACTTTATCCTCTTTCTGATTTCCTGTCTTATTCTTCCCTTTCACCATCCTATCAGTCCTATGTCTTTTCTTGTTCCACTTTGGTTGAACCAAAAACATATAGTCAGGTTGTTAAAGAGGAATGTTGGAGGGAAGCTATGAACCTTGAACTTGCAGCCCTTGAGAATACTAAGACATGGAAATTGACTTCTCTACCACCTGGCAAACATCCAATTGGATGTAAATGGGTGTTTAGGATCAAGAGAAAAGCTGATGGCACTATAGAGAGGTTCAAGGCTAGGCTGGTTGCCAAGGGCTACACTCAACAAGAAGGTTTAGATTACTTTGAAACTTTTTCTCCAGTGGTTAAAATGACTATTGTTAGATTGGTCCTTGCATTGGCAGCATCTAAGGGTTGGTTCCTAAAACAATTAGATGTTAACAATGCTTTCCTCCATGGTACTTTGGATGAAGAGGTGTATATGACACCTCCTCCAGGTTATAAAACTTCTCATCCTAATCAAGTTTGCAAACTCATCAAGTCCTTATATGGCTTAAAACAGGCCAGCAGGCAATGGAATCATACACTCACTGCCTCCCTTCTTTCCTTGGGTTACAAACAATCACAGCGTGATTACTCTTTGTTTGTAAAATCACATGCTGGTCATTTAATAGTTTTGCTCATCTATGTAGATGATATTGTCCTCACAGGTGATGATCTGGAAGAAATCACAAGTGTTAAACAATTTCTGGATGCTAAATTCAAGATCAAGGATTTAGGGGATCTTAGATATTTTCTTGGTTTTGAAGTAGCAAGGTCTAAACAAGGCTTGGTGATTTCACAGAGGAAGTATGCCTTGGAGCTCATTAAAGATGCAGGTTTACTTGCTAGTCAACCTACCTGTACTCCAATGCTTCCTAGTTCTAAGTTTCCAGCCATCACATATAATCCATTTCCTGATATTGAGGCTTATAGAAGACTCATTGGCAGGCTTTTGTACCTCACTAACACAAGGCCTGGTCTGTCATTTGCAGTGAGCACTTTAAGCCAATTTTTTGTCTAAACCAATGAGAGAACATCATGATGCAGCTTTGAGAGTTCTTAGGTACCTCAAACAGCAGCCAGGACAGGGTTTGTTCTTTCCCTCATAATCTTCACATAAAATCACAGGTTTTTGTGATTCAGATTGGGCTTCATGTGTTGATACTAAGAGGTCCATCACAGGTTACAATGTGTTCTATGGAGCTTCTTTGATTAGTTGGAAGTCTAAGAAGCAAAGCACAATATCCAGATCATCTTCTGAAGCTGAGTATCGGGCCATAGCAACCACAACTTGTGAAATTCAGTGGTTATTGTACCTTCTCAAGGATCTTTATCAACCAATCCAGCAGTCTGTAGCTTTGTTCTGTGATAATTTGTCTGCCATTCACATTGCTCAAAATCCAACATTTCATGAAAGGACAAAGCATATTGAGATTGATTGTCATTTGGTCCGAGATAAGATACAACAAGGCATTCTTAAACTTATGCCTATTCCGACACATGCTCAGTTAGCAGATCTGCACACAAAGGCTCTTCATGGTCCTCAGTTTCAGCTTCTATTATCCAAGCTTAGTCTCAAAAATTTGTACATACATGCCTAAGCTTGAGGGAGGGTATTGAATTTACTTGCTAGTCAAGTAAATCTCATTTGTACATAGTTTTAGTTAATTACTTGTATAGTTTCTGTTTAGTGTGTTAAAGGTAGTTAGGAGTTTGTTAGTTTGTTATTGAATCAGTTAGTTAGTTATTGATTCAGTTAGATTAGATAACTTGTATATAACTACCTAATGTATCACTCTTCCATTCATGAAATAAGAATGAGAGCTTATTTACCTCTGAGTTTCTACAAATTTTACATTATGATCAACTATGGTCTATGTGATCGTCGGTGGGTCATAAACATGGTTGGTGGTGGTGGTTATAGTAGTGGTGACTGAAGTGGTGGTCGACAATGATTAGAGTGGTAGTTTATTAGAGATCGTGGTGGATAAATTGATGATCAAAGGTGGTAAGAGGTGGTCGATAGTGGTTAATGTGGTCGTTAGTGGTGGTAAACATAGTTGTTGACAATGGTCATAGTGGTTGTTAGTGTTTGTCAAAGTGGTGGTCGACGATGATTAGAGTGGTAGCTACGTTAGAGATCAAAGTGGATAAGTTGATGATCAGAGGTAGTCGTAGTAGTGGTTAGAGTAACGGTCTGACTAAATGGTGATCAACACTAGTCTATCATGATTGGTCATGGTCAAAGGTAGTGACCATGATAGTTGTTGAAGTAGTAGTTGATGATCATTGATGGTGGTGTTTTACAAAACAAATTTTATTTTTAAAAATGATGTATAAAATCAAAAACAAAAATAAAATTGCAATCACCCTAAGAGAGTTAACATATGTTTGGTTTTTCGGTGAAAAACATTGATATTTAATTGATTTTATAAAATTGATTCTGATTAAAAGTGAATTGAATGTAAAATAATTTATGATTGAATAACTTTATATAAAATTGAATAGAATAGTAAATTTTAATGTAAAAATTATGTTCAAACTCAAAAAATATAAATTTTAAATTTAGATAGAATCAATTCTACTTTAAAAAAATAAAATACATAAAAATTATTTTGAAATTGATTCTACATGTTTAGAGAGTGTTTCTTTCAAATTTAAAAATCACATCATCAAAAATACATAATAAAAAATAAATATATTCATATTTATTATAAAATTGAAAATAATATTTTTTAATATAAAAATTATAAAAAAAAAATTTAAAACATTTATTTAATCTATATAGATTAGATACATTAATTATCAAATCTATTAAAAAAATTCAAATTTATTTATAAATCCTAGTATCTCTTACGTTTGACTCGAACGAAGGTGTTCCCTAACGATGATCATTGTTACGCACACAATACAACGAAAGAACGAAAGCAACCATTTTTGAATTCAATCATTCAGCAATCAATTCAATGTCATCATCATCATCATCACCGACTCCCATTCTCTGCGCTTCTTTCAACCAAGACAATAGGTCAATTCTTTTCGCCCAATCATTCATCACTTTTCCTTCTAATTTGATTCTCCTTTCAAAACAACTTCATCCATTAATTCATTCATTTCAGTTGCTTTGCAATTGGAACCAAAGATGGTTTCAGAATATTTGATACCAATACAGGAAAACTCTGTTATGAAAGAGGTTCTAATTCTAATACTGCCAATTTCTTCAATTACATTATCTTACTTTTTCTGACTGTTTTTTTTTTCTTTCCGTGTCTCTAGCTGTTGGTGCCTTCTCTATTGTTGAGATGCTCTTTACTTCAAGTCTTCTTGCAATTGTTGGTGCTGGTGATCAGGTATATTAGTTAGTTCCGACACCTCTGAAAAAATGCTAGTCTTGTAATTATATTTAATTTATTCATATTTTTCAAAATATTAGGGTGTTTCCGTGTCAGTGTCGGTGTCATGTTCGGGGTGTCTGTGCTTCGTAGTTAAATAGGCATGTTAATTTGATTAAGGGGTTTCTCTTATCTCTCTGATTTGATTTTGTATTGTTTTAACCTATGCAGCCATCTTTGTCGCCCCGCCGTCTATGTTTATTCAATACTACTACTGGAGCTCCTCTTAGAGAATTGAACTTTCTTACTTCAATATTAGCTATTCGCATGAATCGAAAAAGGTCACCCTAATGCTTAGTATTTTACTGCCAAATTCTTTCTTTTTTTGTATTTCATAATTATGTAAATAATATTGCAGCTATGCAAACTAATATGCTTATTTTTTCCTCAATTTGATTTGATTTGGTTTGAGGAGCTTACTTTGTGAGATGGTTTACTTTTGCATTGAAATTTCTTCTGTTATTATTAAGTGTGTGTGTTTGGTTCTACAATGACGAAAATTGATTTTGATTGAATTGATTTTGTAGAATTGATTCTGGTTAAAAGTGAGTTAATGTGAAGTGATTTATGTTTGGATACATTTATGTAAAAGTGAGTTGAACAATCCTAGCTTCGGCTAGAATCAATTCCGGAAACAAAAAATCAATTCTATTTTTGAGAAAACACACATGTCAAAATCAATTTTACACCTCTAGAACTGCTTTTGGCCCTTCCAAAATGGAAACCAAACATACACTAAAATAAAATCCATAAATTCTAATGACCTGATCAGCATGTCTTTTACCATTAAGAATAATCTTATCTGACTTTGTTTCTCTCTATTGCAGACTCATTATCATTTTACAAGACAAAGCATATGTGTATGACATAAATAGCCTTTTAATCCTGGACACTTTCGGCACGGTGCCAAATAGTAAAGGTGAGGTTGGAGTTAATGTGTGATAAGATTTCTCTTAATCAGGAAGGCTTCTGATAAGCAATGTTTTTCCTCTCACTTGACTGAGATATTATGCTTAATATGTATCCTTTTCTACGACAAATTTTCCTACAGGACTTTGTGCGTTTTCCCCTTGTTTGGATGCTTGCTACATGGCTCTTCCCGCTAGCACCACAAAAGGATCTGCATTGTTGTACAATGCTATGGATTGTAATTTACACTGCGAGGTATGCATAATTTCCCGATAAAAATGGATTTGTTGCTTTATCATTCATGAGTTCTTTTGCTACTGTGCCTGCACTTCCTTGTGGCTACAATAGTGAGAGGTCAAAAACCTTGAAAAAAAATTAATCTTCGTGTTTTTGTTTGTTACTCTATATTCAGCCCTGCCTTCTTGATCTTCATGTTTTTGCTTATTAATGATGAATCTGAAATACAGATTGACGCTCATCGCTCACCTCTTGCTGCAATGGTCTTTTCTTCTAACGGAATGTATATAGCTACTGCATCTGAGCAAGGAACCTTAGTCAGAGTTCATTTGGTGTCAGATGCAACAAAGGTGATGATTAATATGTAGTGTCATTTTCAATACTCCCCTCCTCCTAACATATAACAGATTCCCCTTTCCCTTACTCACACACACGAAGGCAATTCAGTTACATTAGTTGCCACCTCGTCATTCCCTTTCTTATTCTTATTCTTCCTCGTGTATACCCTTCAGAATCTGCAAACAATAGGATGTTGGTTAAAATTTGCAATTGAAACAAATAAGGGCATACTCATTTAGATCACTTTAAATATAAATCATACCAAAACACACTTAGCGGCTCTTAGCTTATACTACTCTGTCTCATATTATAAGCAAATTTTACCTTTTTAGATTTATTGAATAATTAACGTATATAGTCTATATATAGATCAAATACATTAATTATTCAATGAATCTGAAATGGTGAAATTTGTTTATAATATGAGACAGAGGGAGTACTAGTATTGATCTTGAGAGTCCAAACCAAAATAAATAGATTCTAGTATCAGTGTTATCAAATTGCCCTGTCATGGCCGCTATGGCGGATATACATGGCGGTTTTTGGGCTTGCCGCAATGGTAAATATCAGCCGCTATTGTGGGGTTTTCCGTCATAATCCGCAATAACAGCGTCGCAAAACGCCCGTTATGGCGGGATTTTGGCTCTCCGCCGTGGACCGCCATCCGCCATCGACAACATTGTCTAGTATGCAATACTCTGATTATGCATTTCCATTGCATATTTTAAAACAATACTCATCCTCCTAATTTTTTGTCTGATTGGTTCCTTTGCCGAATGACTCTTCAAGAGAAGCCCATTCATATGTTTTATGTCATGTAAGTGGACTGTTAAGTCCTCAGTTTTCTAATCGGATCTTCATTCAAAGCAGGATATTTACTGGATGAACAGTCTTTATTTCTTGCCCGATTTCCACTCATGGTTTTTATGAGGTTGTGCCTTGCATATATCATTTTGTTTTGCTTGTTTGCATATATCTTCTCTAACATGAAAATTGAGCCATGGGGCAGTATCTTGATTCATTATGCTTCTTTTTCTGGTTTCGATTGTTTACCTTCATACACGAGACATTCCTTGTGACGGTTGTTTATGGTTTTGATATTATATCTGTAGCAATTTTGCTCCAAATGTAAAATCTGACAAATGTTTTTATCGCAGTCATTTAGTTTCCGAAGGGGTTCATATTCATCTACTATATTTTCTCTTTCATTTGGGCCATCCAAGCTGCTTCCCGATATTCTAGCAGCCACTAGTTCCTCTGGTTCTATTCATCTTTTCACTCTCGGATTTGTTTCATATCCAAGGTGAGAATTTCAATTTACTTTTCTAAGTGCTAGACTAGGTTATTGATGTACACAAGTCAACATGTCAGAAAGGTTTGGATTGCTTTACATCATTATAGGTTTAGCTAGCCTAATTTAAATATAGTGCAAACCTCCAACGACTATGTTTGGCTTGGTCAATGCTCAAACGGACATGTAAATAGCACTGGAGAAACCAAATGTTGAGGAAAAAAAATTAACTGTCTTGTTCTTCTCAATTATATTGGGTGGCCAGATAAGAAACTTCACATTGAATTGAATATTTTGTTCTTTTATACTTAGGAAAATGGATGCCATATATATATCGGTCATTGCATGTTCAAATGTTCCCAACCCTTTGTATTATTGGTTTTAGTTTTCCATAAAATTTGGGGAAGCTTCGATTACTTCAAAAGTTTATTTCTGTTGTTTAGTTTTTTAATTATTTTTTTTCCCTCTGAAATGGATTTGGAAAGATGTCCTATTTATGTTTGATGAACTTACTAGGAGCAAGAGGTCAAGTGGTTTTCTTGGATCAATAATTCCCGATGCTGTGAACGATGTGCTAGATCCTGCTTGTCATCACGTTCTTCATAATGCCGTTCCTGCAGGAGTCAAAAGGTTAACCATTTTATGTTGCTAGATTCATCTCTTGAGGGTGATCTTTTATGTTGTACTTTCTAGACCTTGCAACTATCTCGTACGAAAAATGACCCTCACTTTTATAATCAGAGATTGATTGTTTTATCTTTGAGGATTTTACTATGTCAACCAAGCAAGGATTTATACACACTCATGTTGTAATATCTTGTGTTTTTCATACAGCTCTGCAGTCATTTGCAAGGTTGAGAATGTTACAGACACCTCATCATCTGAACTTTTAGCTTGTAGGTGAGTGCCTTATTATTGGCCTGGTGGTCTTAGTTTGGCTTATGTTAATACTACTAATAGACTATACGCCGATTCTTCTAATGTTTCATTAAATTTCTAATATCTATTTATTTGCTATAAGTTTAAGTTTTTAAAATTTTCAGGGCGAGCATGTGTGTGATAAGTTATAATGGTCACTTTCAAGAATATAACTTAAGCATTGATGCTCAGAAAATGTCTTGGTCTTTAGAGCGCGAAACCAATCTTTTGACTGTGACCATGGATAAAGTTCTATGAATAGAAAAATACTTGGTGCAAACATTTGGTGAAACTTTCCAAAGCTACCATTGCTGCCAACATCAAGTGCTTATTTAGAGAAATGTCCAAACTCACTCTAGACCATAGCTGCTTCCAACATGAATGTGTTATGTCGAGGAAATCATGATCCTAGATTAATTATTGATATGTATAGAAAAGTGACAATGTAAAGTAATTTTACATTCCTCTCCTATAAAGTCATAGGAGTGATAGATTTGGTCATTAACATAGAAAATATGTCTAATTTAGATCTTGTTAGGAGTTTGACTGTATAATAAATTTGATTAAACTGATAACTTACTAACATCAAAACTTGTTATGCATTGCATAATTGTAAAAGAAGTAGTAACATTATTAAGTACTAGTATATTTTTCGGTTTATATTTTACCATGTTAGAATAGTGTTGAAATTTTTTCAGAGAAAAATGATAAGCATAATAGAATATTTGTTGAAATTTTTTGTTTTCAAGCATGTATAAAATTACAATAGCGAAATTATTTTTATAGCCGTTGACTTAGTGATAATACAAACTTTAATTTGAAAAGGAAAGTTTTGTCGTCATTAAAATTAAGTTGCATGATGCACTTTATCTTTGGGATGTATCTTTTAAGTTAAAACTTATAAATGAACATCTTTCATTACACTTTTACAAATTTGTAAGGTATATAGTTAGTGTACCAAAGTGTTACAAGTTGTAAAAACCACTTAATCAAAATCAATTGGTAAAAGATCAATAATACGAGTGCATGTCCCTTTTTCTATATAATATTTAATTTTTTGATGAGTGATGTCAATATGTTATTAGATAAATTAGTTGTAGAATTTTCTCATATAATGTTTCTCATACATTGCCTCTTTTGAAAATTTATTTTATGCATGAAAACTTAGGTTTTATAATCTTTAACAAGTGTGGTTTGAACGAATGGTTCATTTGAATCATGAGTTTTGGATTTTTAGATTTTAATTCCTGTAATGTTTGAATCAAATTATATTTTGGGTTGAATCAAATTATATTTTGGGTTGAATCAAATCAGACTACAGAATGTTTGAATCAAGTTATATTTTGGGTTGATTCAAATCGGATTGTTTTTTAATTCTTGGATTTCAGTTCTGTTAAGAGAACTTTAAACTGAATCACACTTTGGTTACTATATGCATCAAATCAGTTTACACATTTTCTCACACGGTTCGAATCATGTTAGAAGTTGGGGGGAGGGGAAAGTAGCTCCCTAGTGTATCATCTATCTATTAGAAAAGGCTTGGAAGAAAGAGGCCTCTCATGAACCAAACTACCCAAACCAGGTTCTCATTAGTACATTTGATGTTTGTTGTTGATATAATTGTATTTGTCAATGCAAGTTATGAAGATCGGAAAAGTTCTGAAGCAGAGTTATTGAATTTCATGACAAATATGTTTCACTTGAAATGTACAATTTAGGACATTCACGCTTGAAATATTTCAAAACACTCGAGGTAATGCATCTTTGCTAACTTGACAACTCTTAATCCAGGTATCCCATATATGTCAGCTCTTACAGACACTTTTGTAGACTATGTAAAGGATACATGTTCTTGTTGTTTCTTTCCCTAAATGGAGGGGCATAAAAAAGGAAACTGTTGTACATGAAAAACTAACTCAGGCTAAAAGGAAACATGTAATAACATTAAGTTCCAGGACAGCTGCATCAATCTGGGATACTTGGGTGATATTTTGCAACTGGGTTTCAGTTCCAGCAAACTATCTAGTTCGTGTCTTGACAAACTTAGGTCTGGATGCCTTCTTTTCCAGCTTTTCCCTTTTCTTGCGGGTCTTTTCATCTTCAACTGTCTCCTGATCACAAAACGCATACACAATTTAAGTTACTATGAACCTTCCTGAGTCTTGAAAGTGAAAATTAATCAAAACGGTGATCATACCTCTGAACCTTGTGGCAAAAACCCTTTAATGAAGCCAAAGGATTGGTATGCTCCAAATGCTGGTATCTGGTAAATGTAAAGAAAGGAGAAACTGTATCACTGAAGATGTTACATTCTCTTTTTTTTTTGTGATTGGTTTTACAATTTGTATGCCAAACACATGCAGATATTGATTACAACTTTAAATTAAACTTGCAAGTGTATATTTTTGGACCAAAAAAGAAAAATTAAGTCATAACTCAAGCAGTTCCCAGCTATAGTCAATTTTGTACAGAACACCTGATATAATTCATATTCGCCGGTCTGTCAAAAAAATAAAAATCATATTCGCCGGTGTGAGAAAAGTCACTAGGGGTTATATGATAAGCACACAAAGTTTTGGGAACCTCCTCCTGTTTAACAATCCAGTTCCTTTCCCTTCAAGCTGAATGCTTATGGCACATAAAAGTTCAAAATATTTACTATCTTTCAGGCATACACTGATAAGTCAATCTAATGAACCTTTAGATCAATTCCTTTTTATGGCAAATGAACATTTTTACAGCATAAAAACTATGAGCACAGACTGCAGCCTTGCAGATAATAGATCTCTTTGAAGCTAAACTACATTTGTTCAAGTGGTATCAGTCCCAGCGTGTGACTACAGCCTTAACTAAAAGAGTACTACATTTACAGTCCTACATTTTAAAAGAATACTACATTTTGAGGCAATAGAGCCACCAAAAGCTTATTTAGAAGCAGATTGGACCTTACCACAAGATATATGTACCAAAATTTTCCAGAGATGATAGACGCAACTTGCACAAAGCTTGTTATATAGATAACATCATGTAAATAGCTGAAAAATATGATCAACAGTAAGTGAAGAATCATCACACAGTTAGAAGATAGCAAAAAACTCGAAGTAGTTGAACTTTATTTAGCAATATAGTTTGGATTCACATAAGAGGGTCAAGATTCTCAAGAACTATTAGTGACTCAAAATCTAAATAAAGGAAAGGGAGAGCTGACTTCTCAGACTTATGGGATCAGCCGACTATGAACAAGTTTTAAGTCAGTCCAAGGGCTCAAACTCCATAGACTACAGGCTAAAGCCTACAATATATACACATCGTTCAACAATTATATTTGTCAACCATTTTTGCATGATGGCCATGGAAGAAATCACTAACTTTAGTTTTAGTGAAAAAGAGTACAACTCATATTTGAACAATCCTAAGAGCTTGAAATACTTCCAACATCAGCGTTGTCAATTCTGGATAGAGGAAAATGGCGGATTGTTAAAATTCCGCTGCGTAACAGGGGATAATGCCACTATAGCTGCTATTTGACAATATTTGGAACTAATTAGCTATTTAGCAATGATACAAACACGGACACGACACCGACATATCAACACCGGTAACAACTTGAAAAAATTAATAAATTGAATGTAATCCCATGTGTAGGTGTCGTGTCGGACACCAGACATGGATTTGTTCAGGGGGTGTTGGCGCTACATAATTAGTGTATTGCAGAACAATGGCGGTTGGTCTAAAAATTCTCCTATGCCTATGCTATGGTGGTATAGAGCCACTGTAGCCACTATATAAGAACACTGCGGAAAACCAACCGAGAACCATGTTACGCACACAACAAAAGACAAAGTCAAAAACCCCTTGGCACAGATAAACAATAGTAATTTTTTTAAATATAGATGCACATCTTGTATAAATGAGAATAGCCTCAAACTTATAGAATTTCATTATTAACATAAGTTCATGGTTACCCATGAAAATGTCCTTATAAGCTTATAGAACCTTATAGAACTACATGGACAAGTTAAATGAGAGCTTATGAAAAAACTGATATGGACTGGAGAAACTAATTTCAACTTGTATGAGAAACTATTGTTTAAATAACTCAGTCGCTGCGACATTCATTTAGTATTTCATTTTCCATACATGCTTATTAGAGATCTTTACACAAACCACAAGACAAGACAGAAACCTTACCCGCAAACTCCACCAGTAGTCATATCAAACCCACCATCTAAAAGTTCACCATCTTCGGCGTAACTAGGGTTCGCCATTTTAGCAAGTTGTTGATAGGGAAAATAATACGCTAGAGAAGTCACAGCAAGGCCAATAAAATGCTTCCAGGTGATGCTAGAATGAAAGATTAACATCCTAATCACTACATAAATAACCTGTTCAAAAGTAAACCAACAAATCAGCAAATCAATAATCAACACACTAGTTGAGCAACAATAACATGTTTATGTTCACATGCATTGATAATCTCAAGCCAATACATGATGATCATACTAGATTTGACCAATTAACTATTCAATTTTAGAGAACTAAAATGATAAATCCTAATCAAACTCTTAGGCTAAAAACCCTAGAAAGGTGAATTGAAATTGCAATCAGAGAGAGTGCGTAGAGAAAAAGTACGTTGCAGGCGATGATGATTTGGCGGATCCTAGCCATGTGACGAGCGTTCTCTTCCTTGCGTTTCTTAGCACCTTGATTCGCCATTTCTCTCACCTGAGACCAACAAAACGGTGCCGGTGACTATATCGCTGATATGGTTCTACTTCTTTGGGTTAATGTTTAGCTGCTTCTGATTCACGGAAGGAACATCGGAACATTGACAGTGGGCCAAGGCCCGTTATTTGGATTGGGCTCAACTGATTCGGTATTTTAGGGCCCACTGGATCTTAATCTTCGTATCAACTTTTTTTCTATGAAGATTTTAAGTCATTTCTCTTTACACCATTATACTATAGGACGCACTTTTTAAAATTCCAAAATATCTATGGGTTTATTCGAAGATACATCTCAGAACGCACTAAATATTATTTTTTGTCTAAATTTTGTTTGGAGATGCATCCTCGAATACATCTAAAGGTAAATTCGTAAATATATCTCTGAAAATACCTTTTCTATTTAGAAGAATTTTTTCCCAATCAGTGATATATGAATCTTAATCTTCATATCACCTTTTTTTTTTCTGCGAAGATTTTAAGTCATTTCTCTTTACACCCTTACATTGTAGGACGCACCTCTGAAAATCCCAA